ATAACGATTGAGAAGGTAATTTCTTCGTTTTATTTTTTAAACATACACCATTAATTAAATTATGTTGAACTTAGTTTGTTATGTTTATATTGTGCTATGAAATTATATTTATATTATGTTGTTAAATTTGTACTTGATGTACAAATATGTGTTGTGATGTACGGAGTTAATTGAAATTAACTTCATACTTGTTTTTTATTTTTAGTAAAACTTAGTTTCCCGTTTAAGGATTAGTTGGATTTCGTGCATGGATGCGAAAGCATGACTGCGGTCCAATTAATTCTTGAATTGTCCCATTATTTGGACAGCTTGGGAATGCATAGTTATGACGCGTTGTTTATGGTTGAAGGATTAGGTTTCGGTTGTGGAGATTTCGGTATTATCTCTGTACATTCTTCGGGTCGTACACATGAAGAACTGTATCGAGATGTTTCTGAAATTCATCCACGTCGAAATCTAATCTGATGTAGCCGTAAATTACGTAACATAACTATGCATTCCCGAATGGAATAGGGCCCCTACTGGAGCCATAAGGTGACATTATCAGTTTGTATGAAGTTGTTGTGATTGTTGTATTGTTATTGTGGTTTCAGGAGCTATGGACAGGACGTGGATACAGAACCCGAATAGATGGGCGGATGAATACTTGGATGGAATCGAGGATTTTATTGACTTTGCAAGTACACACAACCCGAGTGCAACTAGAATCCGGTGTCCTTGTAGGAGGTGTAACAACACGTTAAGGGAGACAATAGAAAATGTTCGATTTCATTTAGTAAGGAATGGACTGATTGAGACATATAATACTTGGAACCATCATGGGGAACAATTAAACAATGATTCGTCTTTAAATGCCACAAGAGTGGATAATGTTGAACCTATTGTCGATCCTAATGAACAAGTCATGGATATTAGAAATAATGCTTTTCCATTTGCATCGACAAAAACCAATCACAAAGGGGAAGATACCGTGCCTACACCAATGGACAGTGCAGAGTTCGAACAATATGAAAAACTATTAAAAAATGCCAACCAAGAGTTATACTCGGGGTGCGAAAGCTTTTTTGTTCTCACGACCATTGTGGAACTAATGCATGGAAGAATAAAGCATCGTATGTCGAACCGGTGTTTCGATTACTTTTTGGGGGTTTTCAAGAGAATGCTTCCGAAGGACAATTGTTTGCCGAAAGACCATAGAGACACGCAAAAGGTGTTCAAGGACAATTGTATTTTATTCTACAAAGAGTATAAAACATTGGATAAATGCCATGTACGTAATGAGTCGAGGTTCAAAATGATATCTCATAATAGAACCACTAAGATCTCACAAAAAGTCATCCGTTATTTACCCCTGAAACCTAGGTTGCAGCAATTGTATATGTCGTTGCATACTGCCACAGACATGAGATGGCATAAGAAAAAATGGGTAAACGACTATGTGATGCGACATCTGTATATGGGGAGGCATGGAAAGAGTTCGATCGAACGTTTCCTGAGTTTGCTGCTGATTCTCATAAAGTTAGATTGGGACTTGCCACTGACGAATTTAATCCGTTTGGGGTTTTAAACCAACACCACAGTACTTGGCCGATTTTCGTATTTCCGTATAATTTGCCATCGTGGAAATGTATGAAAAAATAATACATGATGATGACTCTATTGATAACTGAGGATCCTGGTAGGTCAATCGATGTATACTTAAGGCCGTTGGTGGATGAGCTAAAACATTTATGGACACACGGTGTGCGCACATATGATAAATATACTGGCAAGATGTTCACTTTGCGGGCTGCAGTGATGTGGACTGTGAACGATTTCCCTGCATATGCAATGGTTTCCGGGTGGAGCACTAGGGGTTATATGGCATGCCCTGTATGCAAGGAAGACGTAACATCTAGTTGGCACGCTGGAAAAGTTTGTTACCTTGGTCATTGAAGATGGTTGCCTTGGGATCACGAGTGGCAAGAGAAGGATAAAGAGTTTGACGGGGAGAAAGAGTATTATCTCAGACCTAGAGAATGGTCTGGTGCTCAGATTTTAGAACAGCTTACCCGTTTGGATTTTGCTCCTTTTGGGACCAATGTCACTAGGACAAGACCTGCTACACATATGAACTGGACGCACAAGTCTATGTTTTTTGAACTCCGATATTGGTCTAAACTAAAATTGAGACACGACCTCGATGTTATGCATGTTAAGAAAAATGTATATGACATATTGGTCGGCACAATTCTAGATATTGAAGGCAAGACAACGAACACGATCAAAGCTCGTCTTGATTTGGAACGAATGGGAATACAATGGGGTTTATGGATGAATAGGGACAATGATAAAGCCATAAGGGATCTTGCATTTTTTTCAATGAAACCGAATGACAAGAATGATTTTTTAAAGTTTTTATCGTCTATAAGGTTTCCCGATGGGTATGCTTCAAATATCGCGCGTTGCGTGAACGTTGATGGGGTAAATTAGCTAGCTTAAAGAGTCATGACTGCCATGTGGTTCTGCAAATCCTACTTCTTGTGGGTATTCGACATCTCTTGCCACCCGATGTAGTGAAACTAATCATGTTGTTGTCCAGTTTTTTTTCGCAATTGACGTCAAGAACGTTACGAAGAACAGACGTTAATCAGTTGTGCCATGACATTGTGTAGGTTCTAATGCAAGTTTGAGATGATATTTCCTCTAGCGTTCTTCACAAGTATGATACACGTGATGGTTCACTTACCAGATGAGGCATTGCTTGCTAGACCAGTCAACTTTCGATGGATGTATCCAATAGAAAGGTATATATTCCTCGTCTTTTCTATTAATCAATATTAAATATATTACGATTAGTAATATGTGAATCGTATCATTTTCTTTTGGCAGGCTTCTTGGAGACTTGAAGAAAAATGTACGAAACAAAGCGAAGCCCGAAGGATCCATTATACAAGCTTGGGTGTCATATGAGGCACTTACATTTTGTGGAATGTATTTAAAAGATGTTGAGACAACTTTCAATCGTCCTCCTTGCAATAATGACGGGGGGTGTGAAAAGGAGAAACTTTCAGTTTTTGCCCAAGTCGCTCGACCATTCGGAGATCCTATTTGTGGTGAGTCATTTGCCAAGAAGGACATGGATAGCACATTGGTTCGTACTCAAAAATTGTGATGAGACACCGTCACACCTAGACGAGCATGAAAATATGATGAAGCAGGCACATCCTTCACATTTGTATGCCAAGAAACACCATGAATTGTTTCTGCAGTGGTTTCTCGAATATGTAAGTTTGAAGTGTTTTGTATTGGACATATATATTGTACCAATTAAGTTGCTCGAACTAACAAATTTAAATGTTTGTCTAATATTAGGTGAATCAACTGAAAGCATCAAATTCCCCCGCATATAGTGAAGAGTTATATAACTTAGCGTTCAGACCAATTTGCGTTGAATTGTACTCGGGCTGCCATGTCAACGGCGTCAAGTTCTTAGCGGGTGCACAAGATGACAAGTTGTGTACACAAAACAGCGGTGTTCATGTCCCCGGAGGAGGCGAAAGTACAAACATTGAATTCTATGGCAAACTAACAAGTGTCGTGCAATTGCTTTATAAAGACCAGTGCCAAGTGATCCTATTTAAGTGTTGATGGTTTGATACACACCCAAATAGGCATGGAAGTGTGAAAACAGATCATGGATTACTATCAATGAACACTACCAAAACTTGGAACGATGACGACCCTTACATATTAGCAACCATGGCTAAACAAATTGTGTATCTAGATGACCCTAAATTCGGGAGGGGTTGGAAAGTTGTTCAGAAGATGGATCATAGGAACATGTATGCTATACCAGAACAAGACCGTACTGACGACGACATCAACAATGTTGCTGACCAACGTCTTGAATCTTTCATGGAAAGTGGTGCGGAAACACTCTGAGGTACTAATCTTATCTAAGAACCATTTCAGATAGATGGAGTATCTTCAATCGAAATATCAATTGAGTCCATCATGATTGACCTCGGTAATATTCCACGATACGATGGTCCAGTGCACACAAACGATGATGTCCAGTGCGCACGAACGACGATGGTGATGTACCTATCGATGATAAGGAATGGGACACTGAAAATGATGATAGCAACGAAAGTGAAAGTTATTATAGTTCAGATGAAGATTAAGGTAATTTATTTGTAATTTATTTGTAATTATTTGTAAAACACATGATATGTTTACTGCATTATATAGAGTGATGGAAAAAATGGTATGAATGATTCCCATTTTATATGTGAATTACTTTGTAAATAAAGTTGTTTTGTTTTTATTTTATAATAAATTGTAAACAAAAAAAAAAAAAAAACCAATTTAAAACACAATTGCGCGACGAATAAAATATTTTTGGTCACGCAAATATACTTTGCGCGATGAAATATATGTATTCGTTGCCCACGTGTCTGAAAATTCAATTAAAGCGCTTTTTTTTCGAGGAAATTTTAAAAAACTTGCACGACGAATAAATATGTTTCGTCGCTCAAAGTATATTTGCACGACGAAATATATTTATTTGTCACGCAAGTGTCTGAAAATTCAAATAAAGCACTTTATTTATTGACTGGGGGTTAGAATTAGGGTTTTTATTTTTTCTAATTGGGGGCGGTGGGGTTAGATTTAGGGTTCGTCAATTGGAGGTTACATTTAGGTTCTTAAATTAGACTTTTTAGGGTTCTTAATTGGGGTTAGATTTAGGTCCTAACTTAGGGGAACGATTTTGGGCAGTGAGGTTAGATTAGGTTTTCTGAAATTGGGGGTTAGATTTAGGGTGCTTCACTGGGGGTTAGGTTACGGTTCTTAAATTAGGGGTTTTTTTATTTCAAGTACATGGTTTGAATTAGGGGTTTTCTAATTTAAGTACAGGGTTCTTAAATTAAGGATTTGCATTGTTGACTGCCACAATTTGTTGATATATAATGGGGTATTACCCTTTGTTGTTGCCTTATTAATATGATAGACTCGATTGTATTGCTTGTTAAATTCGGCCTCCCAATTTTGAAGTTACATTTACGTTTTGATATTAATCTTTCTTTTTTGCACAGTAATTTGAATTCCTCCATTATAGTTTAGATTATATATATCTATTAGATTTTCATGAGAGGTATTAGCAAACTTCTTTTGCCGCAAATCGCAGAGCACATGAACTTTGTTATGATGGGAATGTTTCCATTATTTTCATATTTCTACATCTCCAAAATCATTGAATCTGCCCATATGCATTCAGAAAATGCTTTTGACCAGCCAATGGACTGGAATTCCCATATGTTTATTTTAGTTAACAAGTTCATTTGAAATCAAATCAACAATTAGCAATCCTTTTGTAGCCATTGAAGTTGTAAGCATGTGAAAACAGAATCAAAATCTTTGTGTACTAAACTAATTGATTGCCAATTTTGTAGATGTCTCACCTGATTAGAACCCGGAGGCCGATGACTTCTACACCTAGTCCGACGGCTACACCTAGTCCGACGACTATACTTACTATTGCCGCCACTGCTCCAGCAGAGATGGACCATAAGCCAGTCAATCCAGTTCACTCAGATGGTCCTTCAGTCCCACAGGCGCAGGCATCATCGACTTCTTCGGTGACATTACCTATTAGCGCCAGACGAACTCACCGACGCCCCCGCACTGTGGACCAGATGTCGCCATCGGGATCCACAACTGATGCCTCCAATATACGATCAGGTATACAATCCTAATTCACTCCCTCATTCCTTTGTTTACTAAGGTTTAGGGTACACGGCTAGGTATTCAATTTGTTATGTCATGTAAGGATTAAAAATTTTTCATCGTTCCGAACCTTTTATTAAACTGTTGTGATCATTGTGTTGGATATGTACATTGTTTATGTTATTTTCAGGGTTTTGGGAAATGTTTTAATTATAAGGGAGGTTATGCCGAAATTTTAGTAGGATTTGTTATTAGTTATGGGTTAATGATTTTTTTTTTCATCTCTTTGCAGCGAAGAAAAACACTCGAGGACCTTGTCGGCAATTGAAGACGGGGAAGGTCACTCGGGTGACCAACGGTCGTATCCCAATCGGATATGATGAGTGACATCGGGCAGCACCAACGATGGAGCAGCATAGTGCATTGGCCCACGACATTGGGCATGTCGTGCGGACCTTTTGCCCTATGCTGTGGAAGTCTTGGAAGGCGATGCCGGATGAGACGAAGATTACGCTGCGCAATCAATTGTCCGTAAGTAGCATCGCCCTTTTAATGCTTTTCATGTAAAATTTATATATTTATATGTATTACTATCTTTTATTACTAATGCTTTCAAAATATTTGTTATATTGCAGATAAGCTACAATTTGGAGCACATGGACGAGGACAAGTTCGCATATGTCAATCAGCTCTTCTCCGAATGCTACAAGCAGTGGAAGAGTGACATGCACCAATGCTTCCAGGAGTTTGATGATCTGCAGGTCGCTCTTGATGAGGGATGTCCGAAGGAGTTGGAGGACCGACAAGATAGTTGGGTTTGACTTTGCGGTCATTTTAGTGACCTAACATGTGGTGCGTTTTTAATGACGACTTCTTTCATTTTACTTTTTTTATTTTTTAATAATGTTTATTATTATTTTTTTTAATTTTCTTTAACTATTACAACTAATACGTTTATTTTTTGTATAACAAAAGAAGGCGAAGGCGAACAAGATCAATCGAGAGAAGAGGACTCTTCTCCACCATTCGGGTTCGAGGCCTTTCTCCTACAGGATGGAGGGGCGACGGAAGGTATATATTACAACTTTCATTTCCAATTTTAAAATGTCGCTAATAATTTTTTTTTTTCGTATTAACATTTTCCTTATCTTTTTCGATTTTAGGAGGGTTCAAAATTTTCGAAGATCGATGTTTTTGCTGACGTTTATGTTCGGCCTGGGAATGAGTTGACCTAGTCCCTTCATGTAAGTAATTTCTTATGCATTAAACATTTATACTAATTCTTTCAAATTGTTTTCTATTAATAATCCATGTTTTTTTTCACAGGCAACAATGGTGGAGAAGCGACAAGTGGTGTTTCAGGAGTCCGCCTCCCACCTTCCCCCGGACACGCTGATCGAGTTTGTGGATCCCCCTGAGGATGCAGGGTTTCACATCGTCACTAAGACGTTGGACTAGAATTTCGGTCGGAGGCCAGGGACATATTGTCGGGGGATAGGAAATGCCAGGCGTCGGGAGACTGGAGCCTCGTCATCCTCGCAGTCAAAGACCAAGGTTACGGTTTTGATGCAGGAAGTCGCCGGGCTGAGGAGTGAGCTGGCATCGTACAAGTCTCAAATGTCAATGCTTATACAAGCCATCAATTCCTCTGGAATACATCTCCCCGGTTTTTCTACACCATCGCCCTCACATCCCTTCCACACCGAGCAAGCATAGCAATCAGGCCCGTCGACCTCCGACCCTATCCTCAACCAGCAACAAGATTACCAAGCACTTCCGAATGACATGCCTATAGATTTTGCGTCTTTATTTTCGTAGTTTTGTTCCTTTTTTTTTAACTTTACATTTGTACGTACATTTTATGAAATCTTTTTTTTTCCTTTTATTCTTTTTTTTTAATTAAAAATTACACGTGCGCGACGACGAAATGTCGTTGCGCAACAAGTTTTGAGACAAATTACCCAAAAACGCACTTGTACTCGTTTATATCGTACGACGAAGACCTTTGTCTGTATAGCATTCACACCACGACTAGTAAAGCGTCGCACAGTTGTTAAGACGTGCGACAAATTTGAAGATGTTTGTCGCGCAATGTCTTTTTTCACAAGCTTTACGCGACAAAATATGCGCGACGATTTTCTGGTCGCCAGAGTTTATGTGCAACCAAATAATTCTTTGTGTGACAAAATGTCTGTAGTCGCGCAAGCGATTTAATTTAGTAGTGACTTTAGCTAATTTGTGAGAATTTGGCACAATGTTACACATGAAATAACCTTCAAACTCACTCTCACTCGATCTCCTCTTTGCCAACCCCCCATTTTCTCTACTGTTCAAAATAAAAACTAGCCTAATCTCACACATGAAACACTTCATGTGTGAGAGCCGTCTTTTTGCTTTTTTTATTTGTTTTTGGTAGGGTTTGTGAAGACATGGGGTAGATATAGGAAGTAGGTGGGATGCTATGATGACATGTGGGTGAAAGGAAAAAAATAAACAAAATTTCGTTTGCACGAAATTACATTACTGCCCATGATTTTATTCAGTGATAACACCAAATTATCTTTTCACCTTCTATTGGTTGACAAATAGGGTTTTCCTAATAAGTACTTTAGATTCAGAATATGTTAAACTAGCTAATGTTATTAGATATGGAAACTCAATGGTCTTTGTGGACCAAAACTCATTCGCGTCCTGAAATCCAAAACTAACTAAAACTAACTAAAGGCCAATACAAACCTTTTGTATGATTAAATAATTGATTAATTAATCTTGACTATATACTATTAAATTGTTTAACTTACCTTATTTATGTTCTTTATCTCCTTCATTCATTACCTTACACGATGTCCGACTCTATCTAATTGATTGGTTGGATAAATAAGGCAAAAAAAAAAAAAAAAAAAACAACAACCAAACAGTGGAAGGTAAGGGTTATTTGGGCAACGGTTAACAAATTATAATTTAAGGAGGAGATAACAAGAACAATATCAAGTTTCATGGTATCAGAAAGGGAAACAGTGCCTTCCCCAATAACTGGGGCAGCTTTACCACTAGTAACGTTGACCATGGTTTGGGTGGAGGTTTTTAGTGATGGAACCTGTTTAGAATCACAAGTCATATGTTCAGTATATAGCCCTCGAATCAATTATCCACATATCATTCGTAACAAGACTGGAGATATTGAGTGCCTTACCATCATTACCCGCCGCATCAATCATGGTTGATGCCTTGCCCATTATATGATATGAATCATTCTTGGTTTCTGCAATGGAGGCTCAAGATTTATTGCAGTAAGGATCGCGGGTCTTATCCCAATTCTTGAGATACCCAATTAGTTCAAAACAACAACTTTTGGAGTGTCCTGTTATACCACAATGTGGGTATTTACCTTGCAGATGATCCCGACTTGTTAGGCTAGTGCGAGTTTGTCTTGCCTGACCCTCTAACCCACCTCGGTCAGACTGTTAGGAAGGCCCACAAGCCTTACCTGCCATAGGAGCAGGTTCATCTTTGTCAACCTTCGTCTTGATTGCCTCATTTCGATCTGCTTCACGACAAACATATGCATAAGAAGCTTGAAGCCCAAGCGAGGATCCTTCTACAACACTTCTCCATGCACTTGATAAAAACATCTTCAAGACCACCAAGGAACAAATAGACTCGTTGTTTCTCAATCGATTTGTGAAACATTTTGATGTCGTTCTCACACTCCATGGTCACTTTATTAAAGTGGTCCAATTCCTGAAAAATCTCAGTTAGCCCCCTAAAATAGGTAGCCAAAGGTCGGCCATTCTGACGAAGACGTGATGCCTTCTAATTCAATGAGTAAATTCTAGCCTCGTCATTCTCATCAAAGTAAGTTGTCTTAAACGAGTCCCAAATTTCTTTCGAAGCAGACAATCAAATATATCGCTTCATAATCTTCAGCTTCATTGAAGACAATAACCAACTCTTAATTTTCTGATCCTCAGAGAACCAATCATCATATTTAGAATCATCCTCGTTGGGTGCCTTGGTATACCCACGAAGATATCCCATATTCTTCATTCCACCGATATAGATTTGAATGAGAGGAGCCCACAAATCATACTTCTTATCACCCAATACCATACCAATGTTGAAACTTGAGTTATCTGACTACACCAACATTATATTTAGAATCATCCTCGTTGGGTGCCTTGGTATACCCACGAAGATATCCCATATTCTTCATTCCACCGATATAGATTTGAATGAGAGGAGCCCACAAATCATACTTCTTATCACCCAATACCATACCAATGTTGAAACTTGAGTTATCTGACTACACCAACATTGAAACAGTTGCAAGGATAACCACGAAACCAACAGTCTTCTCTTTAGCCATTAATCTTGATGTCGGCACATAATTGGAACTTGGCAGGGCTGTAGTGGGAATCAGGAATAAGGAAAACTGATAAAACACGGGCAGTAACGACGTTGAGTCGCTTACTGCAGTTGATGAACGACTAGATAAAGAACTCGGGTAGAAACGAAGTAAGTCGTTTATCGCAGTTGATGAGGGATAAATGCATAGCAGTAGTGAACTGGGCACGATAGTACCAACCCAGTTACGGTTCGGTGTTTTTTTCTTTTTTCTAACTTGGCTCTGGTGACAAAGAGAAAGAATGTTTTTCAATGTTTATTGTATTCTTCTTACTCAGAGGTATATATATTGAAGTTGGTACCAGGTGGAATAAACTGCAATTTAAAATCTATATATGTGCTTGTCTGACTAGTCAACAACAGTCATCAACTAAGATCATATATGTTAGTTTACTCACAGCGGAAGTAGTAAAATTATAGCTCCTCTTGAGCTCTTCACCTGGCATCAAAATCAAATCAACTCATGCAAATGATGTTGTGATACAGTTGATGAAAATCAGGATTCGATGTCTAGTCAGTTTCACCAGTCAAACACTGGAAAGATGAAATTGACAATTGACGTGAATCCAAAAAGAGATCAGCTCAAAGATTTGAAACTAGAAAAGCTTGACCTAAAACAATGATCAAAATCACAAAAAAAAAAAAAAAAAAAAAAAAAAAAACAATGCTATCATAATATGTAATGATGTGGGTATTTAGTGCATGAGTGTGATTTTGTGGCTAGGGTTTTCGAGTCAGCACAAAGAGGTAGCACAAGATGAAAACAACTCTTCTAAAAATAAATCTCCTAGTTGAAGAGAACAATGAAAACCCTAGATGAAGCATCTATAGAGGGCTTGTTTCTAACATGAAATATGACAAGAAAAGCCACGTGTCATGAGCAAAAGCAATTGGGAAAGATCTAGGGTTGAAATCCATTTTCGGGAAAAAGCTGTTAGATGGCCCATATGGATTGTCTTAAAGTGTGTGCCCAGCTCATGTGAAAGCATCGAGAAGTTTTGACGAGACAAAACCACTAGATAGAATGTACTAGAAATAATGGCATGAAATGCATGTGAATGAACAAACCTTTGATGAGAGAAGTTAAGCACTTGAAGTGATATTTCCAACAGCATGATCCCAAAGTAGCCATTTAACCCTAAATCTAACTAGAGCATGTGTGGCACAATTTACAACATTTGACAAGGGAAGCCAAACAATAAAACTAGACTTCACATATACAATCATATAAAATCCTACCATAATAGTGAAAGAATAATTACAAGGGATAATCCTAAACTACCATCATAAGAATCCTTATACAAGTTAACAATGGTTAGTGATGAGCTACTAGATTCTAATAGAAATAATCAGAACAGTGGAAGAAAAAGAAAATAAAATTGTTTACAAGATTCGAAGGTAATTAATGTTTTCATTCTTGAAGAGATTAATTACTCAATTAGTGGGAGACCAAAGGAAACCTTGTTTCAGATTTCTCTTGGGGACCAAGCGAATTTTGTTTTGATTTATGTTTTTAATAAAAAGAAAAGGTAAAAAGAGGGCTATGTTTTTAATCAAGCACGTTGTTGACAAGAAGTCAAGAGCGTTAGCAAGAACTCAAGGTTTGAAATTTATTAGATTAAGTAATAATTATATGTGTTTTCCTATTGTTGTTCATTTTTGCAGGAAATTTTGATTTAAAAACATAATGGTCGCTTCTTAATTAATTGAGAAACAAAGTGGTGTTATAATATTGGCCAATAAGTATTGCAGTATAGAGTAAATATTTATTGACATATATTGATTGTATTCTTAGGAATTATGTCAATGTGTTTTATGATAATAAGTCCACCATCTTTTAGGAATTATTAGTTCCTAAGGAGAATACATTGATGCAAAGTATCACTATATTGAATTATAGTGTAGAGGGATGAAGTGAGAGTTGACCATACACCCTCGGGTAAGATGGCGGCCAATCCTATGACTAAAGGATTGCTCACAAAGGTAATTCAAAGGAGCAAGTGCCTACAAGTTGGAATAATCTAGATGTTGTAGTTGGGCATTGCAGTATGGGCATCATTGATGGGATTTTGAGGACGCGTGAAGTGAACAATTCGATGTGACTCTATCTGATTGATTGGTTGGATAAAAGATAGAGGAGCACTAGCGAGGTAATAGAGTTATAATAGATCTTCTCATATGTAAAATCTATTTATAGGCATCAAGTTTGAATTTGTATAACATCTTGGTGCATAGGGTGTAGAGTTGTTGATAAGGTGTATCGAGGAAAGCCTCTGGATTGGCATAAGAGGAAGTACTTGATCAAAATTTTAGTGCAGGCCAAATTAGACTTGGCTGAAGATTAATACTAGGTACGGATGGTATCTTCCTAGTAAACAATAATGGTGACATTTTACTAAAAAGATAGTAAAATGGAGTCGTTAGTACTAGCGCAGTCATTAATAGTGACCAAAGCGTGCGCACGTATAAGCCGAACCACAAACTGACGACAATTTACAAATGTTTGTACACTACAGTTGGAAAGTCAAGAGTAATCAGGAGTTGATGCTCAATAATGATATCCAATCTGTGTAGCCAATGAGACCTTACACCATCAAGATCAAGTGGAAAATGTTGGAATATTGTCATGATGATGTTGACTTTACTATGTGTGTATTTGATGTATTGATGTGCACTATAAGATTGGTGTATTGATATACACTTAACTAAAGGGTGTGATAATAGGGATGACATATCATAAGGGTTATACCCTATACAAGTGATGTGTCTTTATGAAAGGATAAGACTCTTTTAAGAAGTATTACAACTATCTGAAAAAGGTGTGATGAAGTCTATAAAAATATGATTCATTCTTCTAGACAAATAATCCAATATATACGAGGATATATGAAGACTATTTCTCTCCTCTTTCCTACGGCTGTGTCACTTTGATAAATATACATTGTGTCGTGTGATGTGGTCTGAAACTGCGATCCATACGCGTAGAAATTCACTCGCCCTAGAAGAAAAGAAAGAAAAATATATAGGCCTTGAACCGCTGAGGTGGTGACTGACGACCGTCCATGATTACTGCCTGTGTGCCTGACCTATAACAACCGCAAAATATTATAAGCATCGCAGGATTTATTAGAGAGATCAACGAAGAGAGAGTAACTGATAAAGATCTCTAAAACTGTATGGGATGTGAAACTCACTCCCTATACTTTCTTCTACATAGGGGCGGTTCAGTATGAAATTCTAAATTGAAAACGAGATTCGATTCCAAACCGAAAATTTTTGGAACAGGAGTTTGAAGACCAATCCCGTAGTGTAATTTTGGTATTCCCGATTTTCAGGATTCTCAAAATGTTTTCGACATTTCGAGATGGATTGGGACTGGATTTTGGGTTTTAGATTTTTGGGCTGAAATTTAAGAATTTTGGGTTGTGCGAAAATTTGAGTTTTTGGCATGAAATTTTGTTGCCCAATTTCATATCAATCGAAATTTAGGTTTTTACCTCATACCAATTCATTCACACCAAGTCAAGTTGATATTTCAAAATTTTAGTACTTGATATCATACTTCTATTTATAATATAATCTGAGTCTCGAAAATTTCGGTATTACCAATTCGAAATTTTTCAGTATGGAATTGGGATTTTTATGGTTTGGTTTCGAATTTTCAAAAAAAAAATTCGATAGTACTTGAGAGGGCAACCACCACACATGTACCATTGCTGCTAGGTAGCTAGATACAAGTTCAAAATGCAAATCAAGTGGTCAATATTACCTCCCTCCTCTCTCTCTTAACATCTTTCTTGTGATCATCTTACTAGCTACCTAGTCTGGTCTTGGGAGATTTTCTGGAAGGATAAGGATTGTCTGCCCTACTATTTTGGGTGTTCTTTCGTGCCCTTTTATTTTGTTTGGTCACGGTTAAGCTACGTTAATATTTTATATTATTTTTTTATAGAGATAATAAAATAAAAATGAATAGTAATATAAAATGTTGATGTGGCTTAACCGTGACCACACAAATAGAAGGGCACGGGAGGGCAGCAGAAGTAGGAGGGCAGACAGGGCACGGGACGGTACTAGAAGTAGGAGTGCAGAATCTTTATCCTTTCTGGAAAACCCTTTCTTTCTCATCAACAACCATCAAGTCCTCCTAAAGATTTTGGGAAGATCGATTTAAGCGTTTACATACATACATATGGATGGTCCTTTGTCTGCTTTGTTAGGATATATAGGTGTGTGGGATTATGACACTTGTCAATAGATTGTGCATTTAGTTAGTTAGTTAGTTACATGTATTTGAGCTGCTATATAAGTCTAAATGTAATGACTTCATGAGTAAGAAATACATAATACATATATTCATCTCTCTCTCTCTCTGCTTACTTTCTCTCTCTAAGTTCTTGATAATTCTCTCTCTGATATATCTGCATACATATTAACATGCTTAGCCCTGGGAATACCTAGGCTCCTTCAAGGTATATACTACTTATTTTTTACCTTTAGTTTTTGTCATTCTATTCCATATTGGATTCAGATTAATTAATCGGTACTTATTCTTATAGTATATATGGGATTTGGTTGAAATAATTACACAATGTGCTGTTCGGACCCTTGATCGGAGAAGTCTTGTATTCCAAAATCCTTGAGAAAGTGGATCCGCTGTCCTCACCAGTAGCTGGTGTCTTCATGTTCTCATATTATGCGGGCTTCGAGCCCTAACTCACCAGCTATGGACTAGTTACACGAACATGCTTTTCCTCACAAGAAATCGCCGGATCATCCAACAGGGCGTTGATTTCAAGCAGATTGACAAAGAATGCCACTGGTAATTCATTCATCCATACCATCTTTTGCCTTAATTACTTACTATAATTTATAAAATTGGATCCTTTTGATTGAACCAGGATACTCTCCTGAGCAATTCCTTAGGGATCTTAGGGATCCTTCAATCTTGTCCGTTCATTTTATATCGTACGGTCAGTTTTGTTAGGTACTATTCATATTTGAATTTTAAAATTTAAATTTTAAATGATTTCTGACCGCACGATATACGATGAACGGACAAGATTGCGGGATCCCTAGGATCCCTAGGGAATTGCTCAGGAGAGGATCTGGTTCCCTTTGATTAAGGGTTCAATAGAGATAAAGTCATATTTTAAGTTTAATACTTAATTAGATTTTGATCTGTTATTTTTTATGTTTGTTTTGTAGGGATAATTTCATAATTCTTCAAGGGATAATTGCGTCCATTGTCTGCTGTTTGCTTCCGTCATTTGTGCAGAAGCTTCCCTTGTGGAGTACAATAGGATTTATTACCACTCTGGTACTGCACGTGGGAGTTTCAGAGCCTTTATATTATTGGCTTCACAGACGTTTTCACGGCAACAGCTACTTTTTGAGTAGAAAGTATTATTCGCTCCACAGAATTGCATTTCCAGCTGGAACTCCAATGTTATTGGCTCCAACATCTACTTTTTGTATACAGCTGGAAATGCAACCCTATTGGAGCATCTGATATTGAGCATAATTATTGGAGTTCCAGTTTGTGGTACGAGTCTGATGGGTTGTGGATCAGTGTGCACCATCTATGGCTACGTTTTGGTTTTTGATTTTCTGAGATGTTAGGGGCATTCCAATGTTGAGAAAAACCCCTTCCTCGGATATCTTCTCCATACTCCAACGTGAGTAATTATGTTAGAGTAAAATTGTCAGTTCCTAAACAAAACGCCTAAGTCTGTAATCTTAGACTAGTGCTTATTTTCAGTTGTAATTATTTTAGTCTAAATTTGTCTCACATGCTCTTGATCACAAAATGGCAAGCGTTTCAGAGACATCTACTCAAGTAAGTTTGGCATGCATATGCATTCACATGATATAAGTTTTTGTTCAATGGGTTGTTTAGCTTTCAAGTTTAACGATTGAGATATGGGTTTTACATGTTAATTAATTTGGTACGAGTTGGTTTAGCTTAATTGAAGGCCCACATACTAATACAAGATTTATTTGGAGTCAGATGCTATGCAGTTAAAATGAGAATAAATTCAAATGGTTTTGTTTTTATTTTTATCTCATCTATTTAGAGTTTAAATCATGTTGAAGTCTCCTACTGCAACTTATATATATATATATATATCACATTAGGGTTTCTGGGTGCTGCCGCATAAACACACGGGATTAAACAGAGCATATATAATACCGAGTGCAGCACAATAGGTTTTTGGGGTTTTGGGCGCATCTTGAATTAAAGGAGGTCATGTGGTTTTCTTTATGGCTGCCACATATGCATGAATAAGGATTTCAAGTTGTTGCTGTGTCATTTATTTTGGAAAGACATTACTTCATGTTCTAGGTTTTTTCACGAGTCTGCATCATAACCCCAGTTTTTCGTTTTCTCTGTTCTAATGCGGCATGTGTATTGATATTCTAATTGTGCGTTGCTATTAGTCTATGAAATAATTTTTGAGCGAAAAATCTTATAGCAGCCAATGACACAGAGAATGGTTTTCAACTATTTTGAGAGAGAAAAATCAGTTTGCATTTGTACGGTTTCAAAAGTTTAATTCTTATTTTAATCACTAATTTTTATCGTGCTTTAACAAAAATTCAATTATGAAAATGTGCCGTGTGATTTTCGTAATTGGTTGACTTTTAAAGATCATTTCATTACATACATGTTAGTATCTTGCGAAAGTCGAGAAGATAGTGATTGATAGCCGCGTTAGTGTTGTGCCACTTCCACTCGAAGGCTGAAGAGAGATCGAGTAGCAAAGTGCGGAGACAAAACTGCCTATTAGTATGCGTGTCTAATTGATGAGTTTTGTAAGTCTTTCTGTACTTATTTCTCTTAGTGTTTGTCCTGGCTTGGGAGCCCGAGGATTTTCCCAGTGATGGGTTTTGCCTCATTAAATCCTACATCCTGCGTGCACTTTTTATTTATGGTTTTAATTGATGTGAATGTAGATTTAATTTGAGAACTGAAAATTAAATTGAAAATTGAATTGAATTTTTAAATTGGAACCTATTCACCCCCGTCTAGTTAGGAATAGCTACAGTAGATAATTGATATACAAATGACTTATTTGATTCAGCCAGGTGACGAGAAGACACATAATTATTTAATGGATATCTCACTCTTGAATAAGAACTTGGTTCACTCACAGAATACTTGTGTTTACACTTAGGATCCGCCTCATAAGTAGGTTTAGGAATACCTTGGTTAATTCGCTCGGAAAGACGACGAAGTGGAGGTGTATCCATTATAGAAGACGATTGGTTATGCGTACTAACAGGAGATGAGTCCATATTATGACTTGAGACAACTTCTGGGGAAGAATCACGAGCTAGCTGTTGCTGCTCGGTTTCATTTAAAACCATAGGATGCAATTCCTCAAGCACAGAACCCGTGGGCATGTCTTCCTCCTGAGGCTAAGGGGCCAGTTCCTGGTTCGCTGGTTGCTGTTCGGTGGTCCGATCAATAGGCTGCTATTCAGTTAGCCGTTGTCAGTGGGCTGCTGTTTAATGGCTTACTGATCACCAAAGGTCGTGGGCTCCAAATATGGTTGATGTTCTTCATGCAGCTCATTCTAGCCGTAGGGAAATAATAAAAAATTGAACTTCATCACCTCGATACTCCCCTTGAAGTGAGGACACAAAGGAACTAAAGAACATTTCTTTCTCTTGGAAAATCATATCCATAATGATAAACATCTTCTTAGTAGAAGGATGATAACAACGATATCCCTTTTGGGTAGAGGCATAACCTAAAAACACGTAACTATGGATGGGCAAGCTGGTATAGGAGCGCATGTTAGAGTGGGTAATGAAGGTTCAGGGCGGGTATAGGCCGGTTCTAATTTTTTAATAAGAGAAACGAGGCGGGGTAAGCTTTGAAATTTTAGGGGCCAACTAGTTCCAAATGTATAGGAAAACAGGGCCCTGGACCAGCCCATTTGTAATTGTAATGGATGGCTCAACAACCTCAAGTCCTTGACGACATAACCTCTACACCTCACTTTCTCGCCCCTCTTACTCTGCAAGTTTAAAGTCTGTCTCTCAGACTCTAGCTAACACATTTTTTCTCTCTTTCTCCCTATCTATCATTCCCAATCGGAAATGGATCTGATCCCCACCACTTGCCAGACCCGAAAAATCCCACCCAAAATTGATTACTCAACGGTAGTCATCCACGAGGACGATGACTCTAAGTTCGATTGACAGAGCAAGCACAAGAGCTTCGACCCGGAACTCGACCTTTACACCACCATGGTCTATAAGGGTAATGCTGACGAAGATGAAGACAACGACGCCTCTCTTCTTTCGCTCCTCAAACGCCTTCCCAAGGACTTCAGCGACAGAGCGTCAATCGATTACTTTGACGACGAAGAGGAAGACGAAAATGGCGGCGATTTCAGCATAATGATCATCAAGCCCGATAAAAACCAGACTATGAGGAGGTTGCACGACTTCAAGTGGGCATCATTCGACGATGACAGAGACGACTATGGGTTCTCAACCTTTGTTGTGAGGCTGTCGGGTGAGAGAGTCAGTCAGTAGGACTGTGGTGAGGAGGACGAGCAATGGCGCTAGTTTGACAATGAGTAAAGCGGCGGTGAGTATGTAGGCTAAATTAAACCTGAAAATCCGACTTCAAAATCTCCACTGCTTCGTGAGCTTGCCGTTCGCTATCCAGCTTGGCGATCAACTCGCAAAACCACTTCGGTGAAATCTTGTTAGGTGACAGAGTCTTTGCTGCGATTGGCACTAGAACTGCTCATCTTTCTGCTTCAATCTCAGTATGCCCAAAACCGGAAGACAAAAAAAGTAAATGGACCCATGGACTCGCCCCGGACCAAATGGGCCAGGTTAGGTCCGGTTCCCAAACTCAAAATCCCTCTACTTGGCCCGGCCTACCCTGTTACATTTTAAAATGGGTAGGGTCAGGTTCCTTTAAATTTGGGCTCGGCCCGGCCCGTGTCCAGCCCTACACACAACGAAGGGCTCGAGGTTCAAGTTTACTTTTTCGTTGGGAGGATAAAGGTGAACAAAAGCAACGCACCCCAAAACTCATAGGGGAAAATTCAAAATCGGCAGGCAATTAGTCTAAGCCATAAGGGCCTGGAAAGGTATCTGGAAGTCGAGATTGCGAGAAGGAAGACGATTAATAAGATAGGTTGTGGACGTGAGTGCTTCACCCCAATAATTTAGAGGAAGATGTGCCTCAATGAGCGAGGCATAAACCACTTCTAACAAGTGTTTATTTTTTCATTCGGCAACCCCATTTTGTTGAGGAGTATACATGCACGTGGTCTGATGAAGAATACCATGCATACCAATAAAGTAATGAAGTTTTGTATTAACATACTCTTTGCCATTGTCACTTCAAATAACATGGATAGTCATGTTGTACTGCACGCCAACCATTTTATAGATCTTTTGAAAAGCCGAACTAACTTCTTTTTTCGACTTTAACGAACTAACCCAAGTAATTCTTGTACATTCGTCAGTAAAAGTGACAAACCAGTGAGCACCACCAAGAGTATCTATTTTTTAGGAACCGCACACATCAGAATGCACAAACATAAACAGAAAGGAACTTTTATTTGAACTTAAAGGAAAGAAGTTCAATGGCTTTTAGCCATATCACAAACATCACACTTAAACTAAGAAACATCGTTCTTAACAAACAAACTAGGAAATAACTTATGTAGATAACCAAAAGAAGCATGCCTAAGGCGTCGGTGCCACATCCATATGTTTGACACTTTATTAGTATCCCCTTGAGAATCCTCTACGGAAATAGCTTGAGTCAACATGCCAGAACTACTAGTAGTCAATGCCAAGTAATAAAGCTTCCCATGTCTAATACCATAACCAATCGTCTTCCGTGTCTGGATGTCCTTAAAATATAAAAATAGGGCAAAAAAATAATCAAACAATGTAAGGCAACGGTTATTTGGGCAACATATAACAAATTATAATTCAAATAGGGAACCACAAGAATGGTGTCAAGTTTCATGGTATTAGAAAGGGCAACCGTGCCTTCCCCGATAACCAGCATCCCATTAGCAACATTAACCACGGCGGTTTGTGTGGTGGTTTTCAGGGTTGGAACCGGTCTAGAATAACAAGTCATATGTTTAGTAGCTGTGGAATCAGTTATCTTATTTGTGACATGAGTGGAAATATTTAGTGCTTTACCATCACTACTACTTATCGTAGCAATCATGGCAGAGGCTTTGTCTGTTATTTGATCTGCTGTTGGAAATGTGCCTTAAAACCAATCATATGATGATACTTTACGGACATTTCACATGTTAAACTAATATAGTTTAATTTAAAAGGCAAAGATTATTGTTTGAAGCCGTCTCATATAAATGTTATATGCTTAAACGATAAGTCCAAGGAATATGTAATTGGGAGAATGCGATCTAAAGAAGTTAGATTCATGAGACCATTCTCTTTCGTATACATATCCTAAACGTTCCTGATCATAGGATTGCCAATTGGGCATTGACAGTTCGTTAAGATCAGTACGTGTTGTGTCTTCTCTTAGGGAGAGTGACTGGTCTCGAGTCATTGGTGTGACTAACACCAAGACAAGTACGTAGGTGCTCAATAGAGAATGAGTTCACTGAACACGATCAACAAGGAGTTCTCATACTCATGTCACATGAGAACTCATGGTTGGGATAATGCAAAGTAGTCTGATGCGAATTTTAACTTAACACACAAATTAAACCCTCTTGTTGTCAAATTGTAGTATAAATGCAAGTAGGGATCGTTCTAAACCGGGGATTAGGAAGGCTTACTAAAACCTCTAAACTGACTTAAAAACATATAAACAAAGTTAAAAACACTAAACTAGACTCAAAGAACTTAAAACAAACTCAAAGGACTCAAAACAAGCTAAAAACGCTCAAATCTGCCTAAAAACACAAACTGGGCAGATTTGGACTCTAACACACTTTTGGGACACCTAAAAACACAAATCAAAACGGATTTTGACTAATAAAACACTTTAAAGTAAAGGGGGTTTTGGTTTTGACGAATTTGAAAACAAAACAAGTAAATTAAAGAACTAATGAAATCTGCACGAATTTGAGTAAATTGAATGGATGGAAGGCTAGCTAGGAGGTTCTTCTCCACACATGACATACTTGCACATAAAACAATTTTCAGTTGTTCTTTTGATCAATCATGAAACTCAACACCCCAGGTTAATTAAGTCTGCTTAAATTAACCTTCAAGTTCTCTTTAAGTTATTGAATTGGATGGGAAAGCGCATACAACAATTCAAGCATTCTTCAAAAGTTCTTTATGTGAACAGCACAATAACGATACAATCAAAGATCATTAAGCATTATGAAAACTATAAGTACTGACGAGGCATTCGTTACTATGATAAGCATGCCTCTTAGCTAGCCTTCCATCCATTCAATTTACTCAAATTCGTGCAGATTTCATTAGTTCTTTAATTTACTTGTTTTGTTTTCAAATTCGTCAAAACCAAAACCCCCTTTACTTTAAAGTGTTTATTAGTCAAAATCCGTTTTGATTTTTGTTTTTAGGTGTCCCAAAAGTGTGTTAGAGTCCAAATCTGCCCAGTTTGTGTTTTTAGGCAGATTTGAGCGTTTTTAGCTTGTTTTGAGTCATTTGAGTTTGTTTTAAGTTTTTTGAGTCTAGTTTAGTGTTTTTAACTTTCTTTATATGTTTTTAAGTCAGTTTAGAGGTTTTAGCAAGCCCTCCTAATCCCCGGATTAGAACGATCCCTACTTGCATTTATACTACAATTTGACAACAAGAGGGTTTAATTTGTGTGTTAAGTTAAAATTCGCATCAGACTACTTTGCATTATCCCAACCATGAGTTCTCATGTGACATGAGTATGAGAACTCCTTGTTGATCGTGTTCAGTGAACTCATTCTCTATTGAGCACCTACGTACTTGTCTTGGTGTTAGTCACACCAATGACTCGAGACCAGTCACTCTCCCTAAGAGAAGACACAACACGTACTGATCTTAACGAACTGTCAATGCCCAATTGGCAATCCTATGATCAGGAACGTTTAGGATATGTATACGAAAGAGAATGGTCTCATGAATCTAACTTCTTTAGATCACATTCTCCCAATTACATATTGCTTGGACTTATCGTTTAAGCATATAACATTTATATGAGACGGCTTCAAACAATAATCTTTGCCCTTTAAATTAAACTATATTAGTTTAACATGTGAAATGTCCGTAAAGTATCATCATATGATTGGTTTTAAGGCACATTTCCAACAGTAGATCAAATAACAGACAAGGCCTCTGCCATGATTGCTGCGATAAGTAGTAGTGATGGTAAAGCACTAAATATTTCCACTCATGTCACAAATAAGATAACTGATTCCATAGCTACTAAACATATGACTTGTTATTCTAGACCCCTCTACTACTTGTGAATATAAGTTTGTAACTATTAGGTGAAACTCCCTTATACTCTAGCATCATATTCATGCATGCAAACTAAGTGTGCACTCTTAATAAACATACACGAATAAGTTATCAATCAAGCAGTTAAACAAATTGAATTCACAACTTATGAAATCACAACTGAAGGTAATCAAATCATATTGCAAGCATGAACATGGTTTCGAATTCCCCCCTAGCTAAGGGGGGTTTAGTTCCTCATACTCACAAAGCAAAGATAAACAAATTTAGACATTAAAAACAAAAGAATGAAAACACCTAAAAACGCTCCAACAATCCAACTTGAATGGCAAGCACGTCCAAGGGTCCTCATTCTTCTCTTTGTTGCGGCACAAAGTGTGGTTTGATGGATGAGTGGTAAATTATGGTGGTGGATGGATATAGGTGAGTTATGGTGAAGGGTGGATGGGTGGATTGTCTTCTCCCCTTTGTTATGGTGAAGGGTGGATGTATTTATAGGCTAGGGAAAGGACCACCATCTAATTAAGGTGGTAGTGATGAGTGTTGTGGTAATGAGTGGATGTAATGGGTGTGGTGGATGAATGTTTGGTAATGAGTGGATGTAATGGTTGTAGTGGGTGGATGTTTGGTAATGAGTGGATGTAATGGGTGTAGTGGATGAGTGTTTGGTAATGAGGTAATGAGTGGATGTAATGGGTGTGGTGGATGAATGTTTGGTGGATGTAATGGGTATGGTGGATGAATGTTTGGTAATGAGTGGATGTAATGGGTGTGGTGGATGAATGTTTGGTAATGAGTGGATGTAATGGTTGTAGTGGTTGGATGTTTGGTAATGAGTGGATGTAATGGGTGTAGTGGATGAGTGTTTGGTAATGAGTGGATGTAATGAGTGTAGTGGATGGATGTTTGGTAATGAGTGGATGTAATGGGTGTAGTGGATGAGTGTTTGGTAATGAGTGGATGTAATGGGTGTAATGGGTGAGTGTTTGGTAATGAGTGGATGTAATGGGTGTAGTGGATGGATGTTTGGTAATGAGTGGATGTAATGGGTGTAGTGGATGAGTGTTTGGTAATGAGTGGATGTAATGGGTGTAGTGGATGAGTGTTTGGTAATGAGTGGATGTAATGAGTGTAGTGGTAATGAGTGGATGTAATGGGTGTAGTGGATGAGTGTTTGGTAATGAATGGATGTAATGGGTGTAGTGGATGGATGTTTGGAGTTGTAGGTCAACACACTTGCACACACACATGCTGATTTCTAGCCTTCAAATCTTCAAAAACGTCCATCCTCATGTCTCCATGCTTGCACTATCCAATCTTGGCCCAAAAATGCTCCAAAATGCTCCAAATAGCACTTTGTTGCTAACTTTGTTATTTGAACCTACAAACACACGAAAATAGCTTAAAGTACTAAAATAACTAGAATTAAACTAAGTAAATGCCAAGAAACAAGCTAACTAAGTTGCATAAATATGCTCCTATCAAATCTTTTGACCTGAGGCATCATAGTTGTCTTGTGGTTAGGTCCTTGATCTTTGACTATGTCAAAGTCACTCTGTCAGAGGGTGTCCACAGCATAGTTGGGGTTAAGCCACTTAGCCATGGAGGCAAGTGAATGCGCAACAAGGGATCTCTGACCTTTAAACCATTTGAGGGAGAATACTCTATGATATGATTAAGAATCTCTGGCCAGAGTATGAATGATATTTAGGAAATCATTCCAAATCACATTCAAGGTAATCATATAAGAGAATCACATTGGATAATAGACATGAATAAACTATCAAACCAAACAATGTGGTCAAGAGTATTATATTAGAGAAAGACCGTATTGCATTGTAATCCTAAACTGAA